ACTCTTCTGTTCAGCTTCTTCAAAAAAATTCCTTTTTACTGTGCACATTTTTTTAAAAAACTTAAGATTAAGAAAAAAATGAATGGAAACCCATTTTGCTGATTTCTACTGTAGTAATGTTCTAAATGTAAAATGTTGGTATTTAAAAGCCTACTCAGCTAGTAGATGAAGCCAGATATTGCCTTTGTCAAAAATTATCTACTTTAGGATGTATTCTACCCCTCAGAGTAATCGTGTGTAAGTTTCTATAAGTTCTTTTCTGACAGACACATTTTGCTCTAATCACAATAGAACCTCACAGGATGAAATTGAAGAAAAATACCATTTGTGTTGCCAGGTGTCCAGTTTTCACCTGGACAGTCCAGTACTTGTAGGCTCCGTCTGGTTAAAAAACAAACAAACCGGGAAATACCGGACATATGCTCCTACACTTCAGTTAGTCTATAAGGTGCCACAGGACTCCTCGTCGCTTTTGCAGATTCAGACTAACACGGCTACCCCTCTGATACTTAGTATTTCCTGTTTTCCTGGGATGGAAGCCCGGTGGGGACAGTTTTCCCCTGCCATGTCTGGTGGGGGTAGGGAGTGAGGAGCGTGGCAGAGTCTAGCGAAGGAGGGGGGGCAGTTGCCCAGCCCCATGCTAGGGGGGCTCCCAGCTGGGGTGGGAGCGGAGTGCATGCTGCTCTGGTCCACGTGACCAGCAGAGACTGGGAGCTGGCCGTGTGATGCCTCCCTCCCTCTACAATGCGAGCAGAGGCAGCTGGGCCGGACAGTGCTAGCTGCCAGTAGAGGCAGTGGGCCAGCTGCAGAAATAGACACTTTAAAATTAAGATTCTTCTTCTGGTGCCTGGCTCTGCTTGTGGGAGGGGGGAGATTTGATTGGAGCGGGGGCTCCCGACGCTGGGGATGCCTGTCTCAGGGGAAGGGGGGAGTGCACAGAGATGGGGGGGCGCTATGTGGGTCTGGTTCTGGAGAAGGGGTGAGTGCATTGGGATGAGGGGCACTAAGGGTACCTGGATCTGAGGCAGGGGTGAGTGCATTGGGATAGGGAGACTAGGGGGCCTGGCTCAGGGGGAGGGGTGGGTGCATTGGTGGTTTGTGTGTGTTCCCAAACTGCAGGGAATGGTGCAACTTTTGCTTAACAACTTTGGCTCCCTCCCCCTTTTTTTTCCTCGACAGAATTTTTTCCCAGTGTACCTTTCTTTTGCGGGTGTGTGGCTGCTGCTGCCCTTTTTTTTTTTTCCCTGGGGGAGGGGGGGAAAGAGGTGTTTGGTATTTTTTGTTAAACCATCTGGAAACCCTAAATACCATAGTAAGAGATTTAGTAAATTACTCTCATCTGCAATAGTGGAGATACTGATTTCTTCCTCTTACACAACCAACAACCAGGTTATGTGGAGGGAGAGTTGTTTTGTACTGGCATTGGAAATTCTACTGGATAGTGCTAAGTAGAGATGTGGCTGTTACCTGAAAATTAACATGTATTTATGAAAATCCAATATAAACTGTGTTTTATTGCTTACCACTTTGTCAGGTGTGTTAGTTTAGTAGTGTATTTTACATATGTTTGTAGCATTACCCATGTTTATTCAGACTGTAATCCTAGGATACTCTTTAATGTACAAGGTGTAAAAATTAATAAACCAATATATGATGTTTGCATGTAGTTTAACAGGCAGAACCAGACTTGTCGGTCTGTCACTGATAGGCCAAGGTGTGGCTAACTACCCTGAATAATCTGCCAGTTTTTTATTCTGCCTTCATGACTGTGAGGTTTGCAGAGCAGTGGCTGCATAAAACACCAAAGTAACAGTTTTAGCTGTATTTCTAGATCTTTCTCAATAATGGGATTTAATGGCCTGCCTGCTGCTTAGACACTATTGGTGCATCCTCTTCTCTTTCACCTTTAGCTTTGTCTGCATCGCTAAGTTTAAAGTATAGCTCGGGCTATACTTTCAGTAAAAGTTGGTTGTTGGTTGCATACTTTAACGTGGCAGTGTGGTCACTTCACCAGCACTGGGAGAGAGCTCTTCCAGCACTCTAGGTAAACTAATTCCACAAGGGGAGTAGCTAACAGAACTGGTAGCCTGTTTACGCTGGTACTTTACAACACTATAATTTGCTGTACGTGGGGGCGGGAGGGTGGTTTCACATCCCTGAGCGAGAAAGTTATAGAGCAGTAAAGTGGTCATGTAGACTGTAGGGATGTAATAGTGTAGTGAAAGCTTATCCATTAATGCTACAGATTACATCCATCTCCCCCCTCCAACTCGATGCTCTGCCAGTAAACTTTTTAGAGGGCTGGCCAGTAGCCTTGCTCAGTTCCGGCACATGCTGGTTCCCGGGAGCTATCCCTTTGCTGCAGCTGTTCAAGGAAAGTCATTTAGGAGCCGGCAAGCAGGCAGCCCGGCTCAGTCCCGGCTCGTACCAGGTTCCGGGAGCTACCCCCGCTGCGACTCTGCAATAATACTTTCCCTGCAGAGCCACAGCGAGGGTAGCTCCTAGATCCAGTACAAGTTGGGACTGAGCCAGGCTTCCCAGGCCCGCTAGCTCCTAAATTACTTCCTTTGTAGAGGTGCAAAGGTGTGCTTAGCTCTCAGACCCAGTGCGAACCAGTACTGAGCCAGGTTGTACGTAAATGACATTTCATGCAGAGCCACAGCGGGGTAGTTGCCAGATCCAGCACAAGCCAGGACTGAGTGCTTACCATGCTAATCCTTATCGATTGTGTAGTTGACAACATTTTTGTCAACTACATATTTAACAAATTACATGCTTGTTGACAAGACCTAAGGGGATCTTTACATGTGTTGTGATTGGGATACTTGTATTTCTGACCAGTACTAACCAGGGCAGGGCATCTTCATGAAATTCCTCCCTTAAGTTAGGAGCAGCAAATCTGGATCCTGAGCATTAACCTGGAGTTGGTTTCAAATGCCTGTCAATGCATTAAATAGGAAAAGAAAAGATGCAAAAGGACTCCTTTGTGGAACATGACAAATCTTCCTAGATGGCAGTTTGCATTGGAGTTAACACCTTTCAGGTTCCCAAAAAGAGGACACTGCTGGCGGGGAGAGCTGATGGCTGGGTACAGTTAGAAGGTGCTGGAGAGAGGATTCTGGCCTCACTCTTGAGGTGAAAAGCAGCGTAGCTTCTGGTCACAGTGTAGAGCTGCTGGCGAAGACTCAGGATGCAGTACCAACTATGTGGTGGTGTCTCCCTGTCTCTTCCCCTTCTCAGTAGTCCTTGGATTCTGGGATCCTTGAGCTTCCTGGCTGTCTGGCACCACGAAGTTTGGGGATCCAGAGAAATGTCTAGAAAAAGTTGATACAAAATGTTCGACTTTTGAAACAATTTTTTTCAAATATCCGTTCTTTGGAAAACTTCATTTAATTTTATCATTTTGTTTCGAACAAATTTTTTCAAATATCTGTTCTTTGGAAAACTTCATTTAATTTTCAAAGGCGACGAGGAATTACTTCATTTAATTTTATCATTTTGTTTCAGACTCTTTTTGAAAACACAGAATTTCCTCTGGAACAAAAATTCCAGTTTCGAGCCAATTCCAATAGTTATAACTCAGTTATTTGAGAACTGCCTTTTCCCTCTCATATTGAGGGAAAAGTTGTGTGCTTTTTCTTTGGCATCAATGATGTTTTATTAATGAAGAACTTGTAAGGACATGTTTTGCTTTAGTAAGCTCTGCATATTGGCAGCATTAGAAGGTTTTAATTTATATAGAAAACTTGGAATGAACAACATTTAAAGTACATCTTTGTGATTGATTATGTGTATTCAGTATCAGGTTTTCGTTACATGTATTAAACTGACCTAAAGAAGTTTTATCATCCTCCTGCTTGAAAAAGGCTAAAAGAATTTGTCATTTGAACAAGAGTAAAGATGTTTTGCTTTTCCTGTTTTCTTAAAGGGGGGGGGGAAGAGTCCCTATTTAATCAAACTGAGCAATCTTTTATGATTAACATAAGAGCCATTTGAATTGCATTCCCAGTAATGATCTGGATTGTTCTGATAAATCATGTTCATTGAGGGTTTTTTTAAGAGGAACAGGAGATGTCAGTCATGAATTGTATGTCATTGCTGCCAGTGATATCACTGTTCTTGTAGTGTCTTTCAACAATCTAATGCAGGGGTAGTTACTTTTTCTTTTGGTCTTAATTTCTTAGTCAAGGTATAGTCAAGACCCAGATTTCAGACACATATTTTTCACACTGCAATAACAGTAATAAGTATATAAAAGATTTCATGGTCCATTCAAAAGCATCTGGTAGTCCGGACCTGGCCTGCATTTCACAAAGGGTACGTCTAGACTACATGCCTCTGGCGCCAGAGGCATGTAGTCTATACGTACCCTTACTGACTATCAAGAGTAGTCCCAAGAGCGTGCTATAGTGTTAAGTTACAGAAGTTGTGTGTGTTTTTTTTTTTTTTTTTTTTCTCTAATCCCATATCTCTTTGCATACAGTTTACAGAACTAGCAGCTAGGAGTCTATTTTAGCTGCATGATAATATTGCAGTAATGATGTTATATGTAGAGCTGAGATGTCCTTTCAAAAGGCATTTGTTTTCAAGAATGTCTAGCTTAACTCAAAATAGCTTTGTCGTAAAGCTTTAGACTTAGTGTATATGTAGGCCTCAGTAAAAAGTATGTTTTGTGAGGCTTGACAAATTCTTTTTTAAGAAAAACGGAAATCAAAACATAGATGATAGTGGAAGGTGACTCAACTCGAGCCACAGAAAAGATTTGCATATTGAGGAAAATCCATGTGTGTGTTGACTTCCAGTCGTGAGCCCTGTTTCCTAGCAAACATCACCCCTCTTCTAGAACACCTCCCTACTCCCTGGTATAAACTTTTTCCTTAGGTGAGTTGAATAAAAATAATTTGCTTACAATTTTACTCAACCTACTTATTGTGGCAATAATTCATATAATTGGGTTGCACATCATTACTGATGTATTGTTTTTGTTTGCTATATTCCAGGAGTTTGCAGCACTTACTAAAGAGCTTAATATATGCAGGGAACAGCTCCTTGAAAGAGAAGAAGAAATTGCTGAACTGAAAGCGGAAAGAAATAATACAAGGGTTAGTTATTTGTCTGATTTCTGTTGATGATTGCCATCTGTGGCTGGCTTACCACCTGGAGCCAATCTCTTCCTCTTTCTTGGCAGGCGGTTTACATTTCTTTGTCTAGCGCCACCTAGAATGCACGCAAAATTGTTTTAAAATGAAATGATCTCAAACATAAGTGTTTCTTGTATGGTGCTGCCTTCTAGCTTTCTAGGTCTCATCACCTCAGTACTTGTTCTCCTGGGTTGGGAGAGGTCTCAAGTAAACAGTTCTTCCCAGGTAATGACTCCTCTCACAGTGAGAACTAGGGATGTGAATGACTAGTCAATTAACTGATAAGCCTGGGCTTGTCGGTTAATCTAGTTGACTACTTGCATCCCCCTCCTCCTTGCTGCCTCTGTATCATAGCAGCAAGTGGGGGGGGGAGGGGAGGAGCTGGTGCTGTGGGAGCTAGCTTAAAAGCCGGTTCCTCCAGCAACGGCCAGTGCAGTCTCCCGCAACACCCCCTCGGCGGTGCTGCCTCTACTAGAGGCAGCAGCAATGGGGGTGGGGAGGCTGCTGCAAAACAGCCTTTGTCCGCAGTGAGCCTGGGCCCGCCGCAGGCAGAGGCTGCTCTGGCAGCAGCCCCTGTTCATGGAGGAGTTTTTGTGTGTATGTGAGGGGGGGCGACAGGCAGTGGACAGCAGCCCCCTGCAAACAGGGGCCACTGCTGGAGCAGCCTCCCTGCCGGCAGCCTCTGTCTGCAGGGAGCCTGGATCCCTGTGGACAGGGACTGCTGCCACCCTGAGCTGCTGCCTCTTTATAGGGGCAGCAGCATGGGACGGCAGGCAGCTGGTCCATGAGGGGAGCTAGTTTCTCACGAACCGGCTTCTGCCTGGCATCCCCCTGTTGCTTCTGATACAGAGGCAGCAGTGTGAGGTGACAGAGGGCTCCCCAGGAGCGGGGCCAGATTGCACTAATTGCCAGCCCCACCTCTGGAGACTACAGAATAGTTGACTAACCTCTAAGAATTCATGCTGTTAGTCAATTATTCAGTTAATCGATAGCTAACATCCCTAGTGAGAACAGTGAGCTTTCTGTGCTGTCCCCTACCTGTTAGTCAATTATTCAGTTAACCGATAGCTAACATCCCCAGTGAGAACAGTGAGCTTTCTGTGCTGTCCCCTACCTACCTGGGTTTTGTCTTGTTTAATTGGATGATTGATTAGGATGCTGGAAGCTACAAAGATTTACACTACAAAAATCTTGTCTTTAGGCCTTTAAACAGTCTCGCCAAGAAAATCTTCCTCTGAGACAGACCATTCTGCTCTCCCCATGTCTGCCCCACTTCTCCCCAGGATCTTTGTTTTCTTGAGACTCTTGGAATGGAGTAGCCTGGACTCCATCCCCCTCTGATTCCTCTTCTCCTTAAAGGGCCAGTAAACTCCGTTAAACCACAATCAAGGAAACTAGTTAAATGGTTATCTGAATTTAGTATTGAGATTCTCTTCAAATTTTATGTCATTCTCTTACACACCAAGCTGAGACTCAAAGATAAACATTTGGAAGTTCTTCTTTGAGTACTCTCCGTGTGGATTCTCACTGCTGGCACAATTGTACCTTATGTAAGGAAGTGTATCTCTAGCAGTGGTCTGTTAGGGCTGTGCATTCACCCTGGAGTTTTCCACCCAGCAGCAGATAAAGGACTGCAGCTCTGATTATGAATTTGTGGAATAGAAGTGCAAATCATGGAGATCCACACAGCTCTCTCAGCCATGATTCAAGCAGTTGTTTCACAGAATTTCTTCACATATTGCCTGTGTACAGCCCGGTCCTAGTCATTAGAAAGCAGTTCCCAAACTTGAAATGGACAGGGATCTGAGAATTCTTAGCTGAACAAAGATTAAAATGAAGGTCTCCCAAAATCAGGGGAGCCAACCTCTGCATTCCCACTGGGTAAGGTGGGAGGAGCAGCTCCGTGCTCCTGAAAGGGGTAGGGCCTCAGGCAGAAGGGCCATGGCTGGTGGGAGCCAACCTTCAACACCTCCTGGAGCCCAATGCTGCCCTCCCCAGTCTCCAAAGCAGTGCTTGGTGCTCCTGTGGTCATTTAAAGGGCCTAGATCTCCTGTCATTGCTGCAGTAGAAGCAGCGGTGGCAGTTGGGGGTTCTGGGCCCTTTCGAATTGCTAGGCCCTGGGGCAATTGGCCTCTTTGCCCCAAACACCCTTCCTCCTCATTGATGGGTGTGTGCAAACCTGGCATCTTAGATAGCGATCATATCTGGGGAGAATGCTGGATAGAAGGCTGAACAGTGATCCCTGTGACACTTCTTTCATTTTATTAGGTTTGTACAAAGAGTTCATTGAAATGTTCAAGGCAAACAAATCAATATATTTAAAATTGAACTTCAGTTCTAAATTCAAACCTGACATTGTAGAAAGTAAAGTCATTCTAGTCTGATGTCCAAAACAGGAATAAACAAATTGTCACTCATTTACTTCTTTGTTTTTATTTCAGCTGCTATTAGAACATTTGGAATGTCTTGTCTCCAGACATGAGCGGTCCCTTAGAATGACTGTTGTAAAGAGACAGGCTCAGTCTCCAGCAGGGGTTTCTAGTGAAGTTGAAGTTCTCAAAGCACTAAAATCACTATTTGAACATCACAAAGCCCTTGATGAGAAGGTATGAAGTATGCCAACTAATCCTTTTTGGTCTCCACGGAAGTGTGAAACCCCAATATCTGCCAGAACTAAAGTTTTCAGAAGTTAATTTCTGTGACTGTGCCGCCATCTGCTTTAAGAAAATGCACACTAATGCAACTACAATGGTGCGGTTATGTCAGTACAAACTCCTAATGTAAATGTTCTGTATTAAGGCGAAGCAACTTAATAAAGCAACATAATGATGTAAGCTATATTAGTGTAAAAAAAAAGAAGCCAGTGCAACTTAATAAAGCAACATAATGATGATGTAAGCTATATTAGTGTAAAAAAGCCTTGCTTTGTGCTCATGCAACGTAAGGGTTTTTCATGCTTGCTTGTATTACTGTAACACAAAGGAGGTTATTGATGACTAGGTACTATACACACAAAATAGAAGTGAATAGACAACAGGCAGTTACAACAAATAGACAGTGGAAGCACAGGGTAACATTGCTTACCGTTATGGTTAGAGAAGTAAGCAGCAGTTGCAGCATACCAGCTGTCTAACTATTGCCTAGAGTTTTGTGTTGTCATGGCATAGATGAGTTAAGGAGAATAGTGTAGTTACAGGTCGTCCCCGACTTATGAATGCGTTGACTTACAGCTGTTGGTATTTATGACCAGTCTCCCATTAAGCCAGTCCCCGAGTTATGAATGCGATCCGCACTTAGTCCATGAGTTATGAATGCGATCCGCACTTACGAACAACGCAGTCACATTTAAATGAATGGGGTCTGACTTTACAAACAGATTGAGTTATGACCAAGTGTTTGGAACGTAACTTGTTTGTAAGTTGGGGACGACCTGTATGTGGCATTTTCCAGGTTGCTATTCCCATGAAAAAGAAATGGCATGGGAGAAAACAAACATTTATACTGGAAAATTTGACATGGGCAGTCAAAGCTGACTTCACTGATTGAAGAGAAAATACAAATCAGTCTGATCTGATCTGAGGCCACATAAGTAGCATGTACTTAATGCTGTAGGAAAGGGAAGCCAGAGAAAGGATGCAAAATGGTGATGTGTTCAAAGCAATAAACCAGGAAGACCATGTTTGTGACATGAGGTTGAATGAATTTAAGGGGATGGGGACAGGTAAGCTGGCATTTGTCAGTGTTGGAGGAAGAATTACAGATGTGAGAACCAGGAGGAAGGGAGATGAGATGATTGTGGATGATAGTGACTTTTTAAAAAATGGCATTTGGGTATTAACCGGAGAGAAAAGGTGGAAGAGGGATTGCTGGGGGAGGGAGTGGAGTTAGGCAGAGGTGGGTGGCTGTTACCAGATGCAAACAGAAAGAAGGCAAAAGAAGCAGAGGTATGATTTCTGTGAGATGGTGAAATGGAACAGGAAGAACAGAAGAATGAGTAATATAAAGAGATGGGGGGTGGAGAGGAAGAGAAAAAGGGAGATAAATATGATGCAAAGAAATGGTAAAATTAGATTTGAGAACAAAAAAGTTAGTGGTATACGGATGTTACTTTTAATCAACTAATTGACTAGTCGATGGAATTTCCATTTACCAGTCGATTAATGGATAAGGGAGGAAGCAGCAGCAGGCTTGGTTATCAGTCCTAGGAGCTAACCCTGCTGCAGCTCTGCCTTTTAAATGTATTAAGAGCTGGCAAGTTCTAAATATATTTAAAAGGTTTCATGTGCAGCTCTTGGGGACCTGGTGCAAGCCGGGACAGCTGATATCCAGCTTGCACCGGGTCCCCCCCACTGCAGCATCTGAGACTGGGCTCATGCCAGTCCCCACAACTCCTCTACCTCCCCTGCTCCCTGCAGAGATGGTGCTGGGGGGAACTGGCTTTTAAGCCAGCTCCCCCCAGCACTGGCACCTGCTCCTCCCCACTTGCTGCCTCTGATAGAGGCAGCAAGCAAGGGGCGGGGGGCAGAAGCCACTAGTCAAGCAACTTACATCTCTAGAATGGTACCAATAAACAGTGTAGTATGGTTATAAAGGAGTCTACTGATTTTGTACTGTCTGTTACTAAGTTGAAAAAGTAGCTGACAGTCCAGTATTAGGATGCCCTGGAATGATGCGGTTGATAAATTGGCATCGTGTGAGGCTGTACCTGACCCATGAGGCATTGCAAACCCTTCCCAAAGCACTCTGCAGCTAGTTGCCCAGTGCATTGCTGTGTGTGTTGATCAAAGAGCTGGTAGTGTGAATGCACTCTACCAGCAAAAGAAGTTAGTGTGGATATGCAACAGCAGTTTTAATTAAAGCAGCATTACTTTTTCTGACAAATCTCTGTAGGATAGACAAGGCCTTAGAGATGAAAAACTCTTTGAGGAGCTTGTTTGCACTGGTGTTGTATTTGTGTACATTTTCTTAATGTTGAACATTAATTTGTTCTACCCCTTTATCTGCACATGCTCTTCATTTATCATTGCTTCTCTTTTGAACTTTCACCCCATGCTTTCATTCTTTGTTCCTCATATCCTTTCCTTTACATTGACTGCATGTATGTATAATAGAAGAAAAGGAAAAAGACGGGAAAATGGTTAAGTAGTGATAGAAAGAGAGGAACAGAGGAAAAAGTCCTTTACTCCTGCCACTTGGGATTTGTTACACTGGAAGAACTTGCTTAAAGGGGAATCCTGGAGCCTCTCAAATTACCTGTGTGTTGGGCCTGCTAACATAAGGCTCAGCTGTGCAATGGGCGCTGCTTAAGGGTAAACCTTACTACCAATTAAGCAGTTTGATTTCTAACTGTAATGTCTAATAAAATGCTTATTTCTTATAAACTTACGAATTCTATACATTGAAATCATTAACTTCTCCAAACATTACAGGTGTTTGAGCATTCCTTAAAGGTGAGGTATATTTTAAATACACAGAATTCAGTCTAGTTTTAAAAGGCAGCAGCAAATGGAGTTCATGTCCCCAATGAAGAAGTTCTGTCTCTTTAGGTAAAGTGTCAGTCAATGGTTCAATTTTCTAGAAGATCCTTTCTGAGATGCAAGTTAAGACTTCAGAATTTGATGCATATAAGTCACTGATGGAGAAGTTACGCATACTGCAATGGGAAGATCTACCTTTATGGACTAAAATTTCAGTCTTTTCTTCACAGTTAAGTGCTAAGATAGCTATAAGATTATGTTACTGATGACTTTATTTTTCAGGTAAGGGAAAGATTACGAGTAGCACTTGAAAGGTGTAGTTTATTGGAAGAAGAACTAGGTACCACGCATAAAGAGGTAGGTCCCTATAGCAAAATAAAATTTTGGGGGTATCTGTGTGGAAGAATTTAATCCATATCATAAAATCAATATTCTTCCAAATATTAGTGTATGTACAGATGATTCTTATTAGGGATGTTAACTGGTAACTAGGTGATGCTTACATGTTAAGCATCCCTAATTCTTATTTCACATCCCTAATTCTTATTTTCTTGTAGATTTTTGTTTTTAGTTGTCCACAATTGGATGAATTTGATTTCACCATAGTTCTTGTTGATAGAAATCTGTATAGGAAACTACATGTGAGCTGATAATTCTTGTCTCTCAACATTTTTGTTTTTCTTGTTTAAGACCAATGTCATTAGCATAGCAGGCTTGGAATAGGTTTTTTGCTTTCTGTACTACATCCTGCCCATCCATACATACATCAGTCTCTTATATAAAGCATTAATAATTTTCTAAATATTAAATCAGTAAAATTAATACCTATAACCTTACTCATTTGCTTCAAAGCAAAGGTCATTGCATTGTTAGCTATTTATGTGAAAAGTGAAATACAAAGTGAAATGTACTACAATTTTTTTACTTTTTGTTTTTAGTTAATGATTCTGAAAGAGCAAAACAATCAGAAAAGAACACTACCCGATGGGGGACTAGATATAAATCACGATCAGGAAAACACACCGAGCACAAATGGGAAGGTAAGGTTGT